CTGGGTCTGCGGGCTTTAATCTGCAGAACATTAATTCAACGCACACCATGATCAGGCTCAATAGTTGATAAACATTGCTACACTGGTATTCATTCATACACGAGAGAGGTGTATGGTGTATACCATTAGCCCACCATATTCTGGAGAATAGAGGAACTCAAGCCAGTAAAACCAAGTTTTGCGGAATGCACTGTCTCTGTGAGGTAGGGAAGCAGTCATTTCCTCCCATCACTCGAATTTCATCTACCTTACGAAGCCACATCTTCACTGAGGGTGGAGTGGAACTTTTCCAACACAGCGGCACACAGGCTCTAGCTGCGTTGATCAGGTGTATCAGCAGTGATTTGCGGTATCGGGCCCTGGGCAGTGGACACAAGTGGAGCAACAGCGCAGCTGGATCCCCCACTAGAGACATTCCTGTGAGTTGGTGAATTATCCGAAGGACTGCATCCCAAAACTCCCCGAGGCCTCGACAGGACCAGAACACATGGAGAATGGAGCCCTCTTCCTGTCCACATCTCCAACATGTCGGAGGAGTCTGAGGAAACATTTTGTGGAGCTTGGTTGGGACATAATACCATCTGGTGAGCAGTTTGTAGCCTGTCTCCTGTATGGAACTAGCCATCGAGGCCTTGTGCGCAAAGTGAAGTATGTAATCCCTTTGGTCTCGGGTGAACGTAGTGTCTAGGTCTTTTTCCCACTTAGTCAAAAAGTTAGATTCAGTCTGGTCAGCTGGCAGCATCGTGAGGGTGTATGCCTTGGACAAGCCGTGTTCCACATAACTACCTGCCATGCAGACGTCTTCAAATGGTGTCAGTACTGTACGTGGAGGTGGGGACATGTTAAGTCTAGAAAGATAGCTGCGGAGTTGCAGGGCCTGCCAACGCAGCAGTGGAGGATCGAGTAAGCCCCTAATTGAGTCTAGGTTGGTGAAATTCTCGATGGGTTGGAAATGCCCAATCCGGAAGCGATTAGCTTCCACTAGTGCTGGAAGGATCCGTCGGTGAGACTGGGAGCGAAGGCCGGGTCACCTACAATTGGCGACATGATAGAGTGCGAGTTGCTATCTGGGAGTAACGCGGGTGTCTTCTTAAGCACTCGTATCGTGACACCTGTAAGTGGGTGCTGTAATATTTCCCTGGGCAGGGGCGACGTGGTCCAGAGAAGTCCCGTCAACAGTAAAGGGGAGACTGCCTGTTCAAATTGTAGCCAGCGTTTGTCTGAAGTCACATTGCACCATTCGAATGCACAGGCCATATGCACGGCCAGGTGATATCGAATGGGGTCCGGGAAATCGATCCCCCTCTTGATTTGGGCAGTGTCAGTAGGGACTTGTTCAGTCTATGGGCACCGTTCGCCCACAGGAAGGAGGTGAACTCTCTCCGCACTAACTTCAGAAATGACATGGGGATGTGTACTGGTAAGGTTTGGAACAGGTAGAGTAATCGTGGGAGAATATTAATTTTCAATACGCTGTTCCTCCCGAACCAAGAGATGGTAAGACCCGACCACTTGGATAGATCGCGTTTAAGTTCGGATAGCAGCGGCGGGAAGTTAAGTTCAAAAACCCTGGCGACTGATGCGGATAGTTTCGTCCCTAGGTAAGGGATGTGTGAAGCGGACCAGCGGAAGGGAAAGGCTGCTTGGAGACCCATGAGAGAGGAGTGGGTCACTGTGAGGTTAAGTGCCTCGGATTTCTGAAAATTGATTTTAAAAGTTTGAAGCTCTCCATAGGTCTCCAGCTCGGCCATGAGATTTGGAAGGGAGAGTGTAGGTTTGGTCAGCATGAACAGTAGGTCATCAGCGTAGCCCGCTATTTTGTGCGTCTTTGGGCCAGGGAGTAGTCCCGAGATATTCTGGTTATCTCTGATTCTGCAAAGTAGGGGTTCCAGTGTTAGGATAAAAAGTAACGGAGAGAGCGGGCATTCCTGTCGTGTCCCGTTAGCTAGTGGAAAGTAGGCAGAGTACGTGCCATTTACCCGTACCCGGGCAGCTGTAGGGGTAGAATAGATCGCCGATATCCATCTGCATAGATTGTTCCCAAACCCAACCGCCCTGAGCGTCGCATGTAGGAACGACCAATCCACCCGGTCAAATGCCTTTTCCGCGTCGGTTGACAGGAGGATGGTCGAGATTCGCTTCGAGGTGGCAAAATGAATCGCATTCAGCACCCTGACAGTGTTGTCTTTAGCGTCTCTGTGTGGTAAGAAACCTACTTGGTCAGTGTGGATGATTTTACTTATGCTGTGCAGCAAACGGTTGGCCAGAATTTTGGAGAACAATTTCAGGTCTATGTTTAGCAGGGATATCGGGCGGTGATGGGTGACTCTAGGCCCTCCGCTTCCTCATGGGATATGCGGGGCAGATTCGTCTGTTCAAGATAGGTTTGGGTTTTGGCGATGCGTCTTGAGATGGAATCTGGGGTCCCAGGGCTCTCTAGATTATAGAGTTCAGCGAAGAAGTTAGCTAGAGAGGAGAGTACCATCGCGCCCCGTTATGGTGGGAATAAAGGTTTGGGCTCGGGCTTCCCTAAGAGCTAAGGCTAGAGACCTGCCGGGCTTGTTGCCGTGTTCAAAGTACGAACGTTTGACCCTCACCTGTTTCGCTTTGATCTTACCTAGAAGAATATTATTCAGTTGCTGGCGTAACGTCCATAGCTCAACCTCCACCGCTCTGGCGAGGGTTTGTTTGTGGCCGGACTCAAGGTTGCCAATTTGCGCCAGTAGTGAAGAGATCGTTTCGGCGCGCTTTCGCTTTGCGTGGGAGGCATGAGCTATGAGGGTACCCCGCACACAACACTTGTGGGCTTCCCAGATGGAGAGAGGTGAAGACTCTGATATCTGATTATGTCGGAAAAAGTAAGTGAGGTCTTGCTTAACGCGGTCAATCAGTAGGGCGTCCTCAAGAAGGAAGTCATTCAGCTGCCAATGCCATGGTCTGGGTCCTTCTGAATGGAGCAGTATGTCAATCAGGATCGGGGCATGGTCAGATATCGTGAGGACGTCTATGGCAGAGTGGCGCACTGTGAGCAGTAGAGTAAAAGGAATAGTCCCGCTCTCTAGCGTGCATAAGTCGCCACACGTCTACCAGTTGTTCTGCGTGTAGGGTCTTCTGCAGCTTTCTAAGAAAGGCGTAAGAGAGGTGAGAGGCATTTCGGGAGACGTCCAGTTGTGGATCAAGTGCAACATTAAAGTCACCACCCACAACAAGAATCCCCTCTGCGAAATCTCATAGAGCCAGGAGGCATTCTTCCATGAAGGAGATCTGACCAGAATTGGGGGCGTAAATGTTGGCCAAGGTCACTAGTGAGCCATAAAAACTACCCTTTACAAACAGGTATCTGCCCTCCTCGTCCCCCGACGTGGCGATGTGTTGCCAGCCCGCGGACTTGGCAATTAGTATACTGACCCCTCGGGTTTTTCCAGCTGGGGATGAGCTGTGGTACACAAATGGTCGGAGAGTCTCGGGATGCAGCCCAACTGAAAATGTGTCTCCTGGAGGTAAGCTACCTGTACTCTGTGTCTCCACAAACCCCCCCGGACCCTGGACCGCTTTTCCGGAACATTGAGACCCTTTACGTTCCAGGATAAGAATTTAGTGGGGAGTGACGCTGTCGTTCTATCCACCCGGCGTGCCATGTCTGTCAGCTGAAAGGGAGACAAGTAGAGGTAAGAGGAAGAAGCCTGTACAGAAAAGGGAAAGAAGGGTCAAAGAAGGGAGACGGCAGAGAAGTTAGGTCAGAGAGTAGGTGGCTCAGGGGCGGGGAGGGAGGGATAGGGCAGCTGCCCACACTAAGTAGGTAGACGTATCAAACAGGGCAGAGACAAAAACAAAAAACAGGTATTGAGTGCTAAAACAGTCCTCAACGCCCTAGGCGAGGAGGAAATCTAGGTGGGGGAGTGTAAAGCAAGGAAGCGCAACGAGAGATGCTCCCGTGCTACCCATCTCAGGGAGCTAACCCCGTTATGCGGCACCCAAACTAGTAATCGATCTTGACAGGAGGATTATGGCCGCCAGGTCGCTTAGGCCTAGTCAACAGTATCTCAAAAACATTTCAACCATTAAGAAAACAGTATATCAGAAAAACCGTATTACCTCCTCTTCTCTCCCCCCAGTGCTAGTTAACCTCCCGTCCGAGTCAACCTCCCCCGGGGTGGCTCGAGGTCCATGAGTAGGAGTGAACCTCCCGGGCGTCGAGTCATGCGGCAGGTGACAGCCAGCGCAGAGAAAGGCCCGGCTGCACAGGCAGGGCGGCCTGGCACCATATAGTTGGTAACAAACAAGACACCCCTCATAGTGCTACAGTGATGTGCAAGGCTGTCGGCCTGTGTGTCATTGTAGGGTGTGGGGAGTGTACAGAAGTAACCCGACCCCCACTAACAAACCCTGGATATAAATCAGTCGTTCACATCTTAGTTATATCAGAGGCATGACCCGGTGGTGTTGCTAGTCGATCCGAAGGAACCTGCAATGGAAAGGGTTATAAAACATGCGTCCACAGTAGGTCAAGCATGTGTACTAGTGGGACGTGAGCGTCTGTAAGGAGGCCCAGGGATCAATACAATCTATAAGGATACGACTGGAACCACAAGACTGAGGGGGGTTTGGTGGGAGAGGGTCAGCAGACTGGAACGGTGAGCAGGGGTGGTTACAGGTGGCCGGAGTCGGATTGGGAGGACAATCCGGTGGTTCCAAAAGTTCTCGGAGGGAAGAGGAGGAGTATAGTGGGGACCAACCGTCCAAATCCAGTCCTAGGGTTCATGGGTCAGTAGATGATCCTGTATCGCACCGGTAGGTCTTTTCTCATCCGGGTGAGGCTCTGGGCTGGTATCCTCGTCATGGCTTCAACCAGGACACTGCGAAAGTCATTGGAAAGAAAAAAACAAAAACAAATAAGTAGCCAGTGACATGGGCTAGTCGGTGCTTTCTCAGTCCTCGTGAGACGCTGGGTCCCTGGGCCGGTCGCCACTGTCCCGATAGCCAGAGCGTCCTCTGCGAAGCCTCGGGGGTCGGGGGGGCTGTTGGTAGATTAGTAGAACAGTAGAAAGGCATCTTGGCACACTCACAAACCAGCATGTAAAACAACTTGTCTCACCACTAAGGACAATGACAGAGGTTTGGATACACGTCTTCTACAGAGGATGTGAAAGCTATCATCTGCATGTTGCAGGGTTGAGACCAGCAATCTCGGCGACCGAGATTGGGTGAGTGGTCAGATGCTGAGGACTCCGCGGGCGAGAGGGCTGTAGCCGGCGCCGCCGGGCTCTGTCGGGGAAGACGCGTCCCGTGGAAAGCAAGATGGCCGATTAACTCCATGTGCGCTGGAGCGGCCGCCTGGGATCTCGTGGTCGCGGGGGAGAAGTAACCAGGTATGGTCCTCCGGGTGGTCTTCGTGGTTGATCTGCGGGACCTCCGGGTGCCGTACATGTAGGGTAGCGAGAGTAAACTGCAGTCAGTGAGCGGTAAACGGTAGATTAGGGAGCAGAGCTCAGCACACACAAGTCTCTACGGCTCCATTGCTTGGCCACGCCCCCCTCTTTGCTTATTTTAAGCTGCAGATGGGGAATTCCCGGCCCGCTGCTGAAGGGGTGCAAGTGTCCATGGCACTTCCTTGCTCAGGTGCTCAGGGTTGGACTGGGTTGAATGGGTGACCTGGAAGGAACATCGTTTCCTTTTTGGCAGAAGCTCCTTTTGGGTGTGGAGAAGCTCAGGTTTGGACTAGGTTTCGAATCCAAACCAGAGCTCATCCCTACCCAGGCCCTTTTATCCAGGATTAGACTATGCTTTAAGAAATGCAAATGGCAATCAAAGCATTCCTAGTCCAAAATCACCTTTAACAGCTGATATTGCAAGATGTTGGTAGACATTTCAAGCCTTTAAGAAATAGCTTCACATCCAATCAATCCATGCGATCACCAACCAAATAAAGTGGGCATGTCTATCTCTTTTAGTGGAAAACTGGCACTCAAGAAGGTCTGTGATGTTACAAATCCATCTTTATTACAAAAATATTGAAAGCGGGCAAAGTACGTTGCTTTTACACTGAAAGCGTACAAAACAGCCTTAGCCAAGACTATGAGGTTTTCCGAGCTTGAAACGCATAAGCAACGCATTATGCCACTTTTTTTGTGCTTCCATAACAAAGATGGGCTTTGAACATGCCACGGCTAAAAGCTTTTTTGCAAGCTTGAAATGCGTAAGCAATGTAATAGAGCCGAGGATTTTACAATCAATACACAATGAATGTTTCGCAAGAAATCATAAGGGTCATACAAAATGAACATCCAGTAATGTGCACAAAAAAAAACTCACCCCTCGCCCTTGGACTTTTACGCAGTTATACTCTGAAATAAAAAATGGGTGGAAATTGGATTTTTGCCATTTGATTTCAATGTCAGGGCAATATAAAATATAAATTGCAAGTACAGACAAATACCAGTTGATCTGTCAAAAATCCAATGTGCTGCTTACCTTCTGTTTGGGGGTACAGTGCGTCTGCTAAATTAAGATCCCAGTTGTGTAGGAAAAGGCCTTTAGTGAGATGTCTGTAGTTCTGGGGGTGTGCCTATGGAAGTAATAAAAGCTGTTTCTCACTACAAGAACAAGGTACAAGAAAAAAAAATGGGGCAACATCTAGAGGGGAAGTAGGAGGTTTGGGAGTACATTTGGGTAACACTTGGACATACACTTTAATTGAGCCAAAAAGTAACCATTGGTTGGTTATCTATGTACTCAACCCAGCCACCCTTTGGTAAAGCCACTTTGGCTGCAATTATAGTTGCAAGTCTTTACGGTTGAGTTTCCACCGGCTTTGCACATCTGGATCCTGCAGCTTGTGTCCATTTCTCTTCATACTGTATATCTAAGTCTCACAGGTTAGATGGGTCAATTAATTAACAATGGCCTTCAAGTTTTGTTACAGATTCTCCATTGGATTTCGATCTGGGTTTTGACTGTTTAAGATATTCAGGTTCTTGGTTTAAACCATTGCAATCTAGGTTTAGCTGTGTGTTGGGGGTCATTGTCCATCTGGTGAACCGTTGTCCCAGTCTCAGGTCATTCTCAGGCTGAAAGAGGATTCCTATAGGATTGCTCTGCATTTTACTCCACCAACTTTGCTGCAATTCTGACCATATTCCCAGTTTCTGTTGATGCTGCTGCCACCATGGGGATGGTGTTCTTGGGGTTATAAGGTTCGGCCACATATAGTAGAGTTCAGTTGTGGTCATTTGCTATAGACATTTTTCTTTTAACCAAAGGATTTATTTTTGTCTTTCTTCCATAAGGTCCAGTTTTGTGGAGCATTTAAGTTCTAGTTGTTCCATGACCTGTGTCTTCCATCATAGCTGTGGATCTCTGATGGTTTTTTAGAATTACCATTGGCTTGTTGGTTGCTGACTAATGCTTTACATGCCCAGTTTGGATATGTGGCCATCTTCAGATTTATCGTATTCTTTTTGCTTTTTAATAATCAGGCACTCTCTCATCTTGACCATTCAGAATATAGTGAAAGTGTCTGTGTAAAGGGCCTCCCCTGACTCAATGATACCAACCCTACCAGTACTGCCCCACCACTCCTATCTCTATGTATCACTGTCCCACTTTCCAACACCATCACGTACATTGCTGCAGGACCAGCAGTGGACGCTGGTCCTGCATTGTATGTGGTGATGTCAGAGTATCTGCCCACATTCCAAGGTGGGAGCAAAGAGGACCAATGCCGGCAGCCATGGGACTATTAAGATGTCTTTTACATCATTTCCTAGACACAATTAGTGTTATGACCTGCATCAGCTGAAGGGTGCAATGTTTAGGACTTTTTTTTTAAGTGGCTGCAGCTTAAGAAGAACTTGAAAATAACAATAAAAACGAAAAGCCCATAAAAAGGCAAGATAACAAAAGCAGCATTAGCTGCAGAATTTACCTTTAAACCAGAGATTTCCCCACAGTACTTTTTTTCTGCCACTAGATGTCCTCATCCTAATGGCCAACATCATTCAGCCCACTTCCTTTGAACTCAGGTTGCCCAGGGCCTGCCCCAGCCTGTTAGAAGAAAAGCAGCAGAGTGATAAGCTCATCTCTCCAGTGTGGATCAACAAAGATGGCGGTCAAACCAAACCAACAAAGTCCATAAAAAGTTTTTATTCACAATTTGATTAACTTATAAAAGCAGCCAACATGTTAGGGGGGCAAACACTTCCCCCTTCCTCAGGGCTAAAAAAAATAAGATGGAAACTTGAGGACTCAAAGTAGTAATAGCAGGAGGGATCTTTGTTTTATAGGAAGAAAACTCTCCTGGTATGTGCACTTCAGTTAAACAGGAGTAAGTCACACTGGGAGAGTTTTCTTCTTCTTTCTTCTCACAAAGAGCTATTACTAATCTGAGTGCTCAAGTTTTCATCTTAGTCTTGAGGAAGGAGAATGTGTTTATCTCCAAATCTGATTTATCGAGTTGATCCCATTGTGAACAATAATAATATTTGTTTGGTGCCCATCTTTGCTGATCCCCACTTGAGTCTTTTGGGTATCCCATGAGGAAAGCCTGGCTGTTCGGAGGCCCCTTACCAGAGTGAGCTTGTTTCTAACCTTCAGAAGTCTGAACTCCCATAAGAATATAAAAAAAATTCCAGAGCCTCCGACATTTTTTCTTTTTGATGGTCATCTTTTTTATCAGTGCATGAACTGATGGGCTCCTCGTGCTGCTTCTTCCTCTCACGCTCCAGCCCTGCTATACAGGGACTGGAGGAGGCTGATACCAGGTCAGGGTATCTCACCTCCAAACACTTACAAATGGTCCACATTCACCAGAAATTCAGTGTTGAGAGGAGGGATCCTAAGGCCACTGAGGACCAGGCAGCGATAGGCTGCTGCACCTGCCTGTCAAGATACTGAAAGGAGGAGGGAACAAGGGTGTGGCTCTTTGAGAGCTTTGTAATTTAGGGTGCATTCACACCAAATAACGGAAAAGTATTCGCAAGTCAATCAAGAGTCTCTTGACTTGCAAGCATGCTCTACTTTTTTTTAAGCGCAACGTATGTTAACGCAATACAATGGTGTTGTGTGAACTATCCCCATTCACACCCATTCATTTTCCGTTGACCTTGCGTTACCATCCGTTAAAAAATTATTGCTAATGCAACGCATCGTGTACAGTGTGAATGGGGCTTTAGTGGTCGCAAACAGCTCAGCTCAATTCCTAGGCGGGAGCACGCAGGGGCATCCCGAGGCCGGGTGTCACCCGGAGTGGAGACTGGGTGACACCCCGCCGTGACGTCACCACAGGTGTGCACGATGACGTCACCGCGCATTCGCGGTCATCTTATTGACGCCTGCCGGCAGCCATCTTGGAGATGGACGCCGGCAGAGAGAGGAGGGGACGTTCACCCGACAGGATGAGGTATGCCGCCGGGTGTCCTCCTCTCTCCTGACACTGTCGGCTCTCGGCCCATGACCGAGTGCCCGACTTTTTAGAGGGGGGTGACACCAAAATGACCATCAGTCATTTTGGTGTCGCCCCTCCAATGGTGTCACCCAGGTGCGGGCCGCCTCCTGTTAAAATAGCTCCTGTTAAAAGCTTATTAAGTAAAAGTGGTGAATTTTTAAAAAGAACAAAGGTTTAATATCACTTTATTTCATTGGAGTTTAGCTTTCAATATGTAATATGAACATAGAGAACTGTAGAGCAATTTATAGCCTCATCTATGCTTTGAACAGCCCGCACACACACAGAATGAAAATATAAAGGAAATACATTATTCTTATATCTCCATCAACGTTTGGACGGGGACCGTGTCCCAAGCGAGGGCCAAATTTAGGTTTTCCTAAAATACTACAACCCGTTTTACGGCTGCTCTCCACCTCTCTGCCAGGTAATCAGAAATGTAGAACAGATTGGAAAATAGAACAGAATTCTTGTAAAAATGAACAGGCATCCTGTACAAGATTCATAACTCCATACAAGATTTATAAGCTGGAGGATAAGTCCAGAGCTCATATAAAATTCATGCCGCATGGAATTTTATTTTTTCCCTTCTCTCTCTCTTTTTTCATCAGGACGCTGGGGTCATGTATAGTACATCATCTTCTCTAATGGTGAGACTGATGAAGAATTACAAGCAACGTATGTGCATGACGTAGCTCCCAGCATCCAGCGGCTTGCGGAAAGCTGCAGCTCCATACGTCTTTACTGAACTTTATTTAGCAAAGCGAATGCGCAGAGCGCGGTAAACCACGGTGTCCAATTAGAATTCATCCTTCATGGTACCGACTGCTGCTCTCAACTGATGAGAGGTGAACCCAACTGTTTGGGTCACTGCACACTGGTGTTTTCTGTCTTGCGTATTCCTTCCACACAGGCAGGAAATGGTTACCTACCCCCCTGTTGTGCATTGGTGTACAGTTTGTCCATCTATCTATAGATATATAGATTTACTGGATTACTGGATTTTACATGAAGTTTGTCTTTAAAGGGCTTTTTATTCTGAAAACAAGCTGAAATATGTACTTTTTCCAATTCTCAGGTGTAGTATATATGAAAACTTGCTCATATCAGAATAAAAACTTAAAAAAGATCAATGTAGTTTTAAATAACATCTATGTTATTGTTTAAAGGGGCATAAAGCAGCTTTGCGCATACAGGGTCCCTTCACAACATGGGGGTATATTTATATACCAAGCAAAACAAATGACAAACGCACTCAACAATTCGTCACCAGCTATACAGTAAGGTGCACACGAAATGGGCTTTGAACAGTAAAACAGTAGAAAGGTATCATGGCACACTCACCAGCCAGCATGTAAAACAACTTGTCTCACCACTAAGGATAATAACAGAGGTTTGGATACACGTCTTCTGCAGAAAATGTGAAAGCCGCACAGCCGCGCCAAGGCACCTCTTATAGTGCGGTCCTAACTCTAAACTAGGCGCCCAACCTCCTTAAAGGCACAGGGACACACAAGGGATCCCGCACATCCCAATGGCAGCTGAGAACCACCATGCGTCACTGCACCAAATCGGTCAAGATAAACAAATGACAAACGCACTCAACAATTCATCACCAGCTATACAGTAAGGTGCACACGAAATGGGCTTTAAACAGTAAAACAGTAGAAAGGTATCATGGCACACACCAGCATGTAAAACAACTTGTCTCACCACTAAGGTTAATAACAGAGGTTTGGCTACACGTCTTCTGCAGGAAATATATATTTATATACCATTCACAGGACCATTCGTCCTTCCGAAAGTCTGTGAACGTTCGTTCTGAGAAGTAAAGACGAATGTTCTTAGTATATTTCCTTACCAAGTCAAATGTAGCATTTGAAAATGACCCCATTATGGCCACTAGATGGAGCTGAGGAGCATAGGAACTAAATACTTATAACAGGTAAATACCATATTATGGTCATTAGATGGAGCTGAGGAGCAGAGGAATAAATAGTAATTTCCTATGCTTCTTAGCGCCATCTAGTGGCCATAATGTTGCATTTTCCTATGACATTCAACCTGAAAAGAAAATATATTAAGAACGTTTGTTCTTTGCCTCCATTCGCACGGAATATTGTAATACACATATTGTAATACACAGTAAAGTGTGGTAATGTGTACATTGCATGTTCAGCAAGATTATCATTTTTTTTCAGAAATACTTTTATCATCAACAAAAGGCTATTCCTGAACACCAGTCATGTGACTTTACCTGGACTGATGTCATTAGTTTTCTGCAAACAGGAAGAAGCATTTCCTTAGTCTCCTCTCTCCCCAGTGATCAGACTACAACATTGTAACTTTGTAGCAAGTCACGAGGTGACACTTAAAGGAGAACTATGGGGTAAGTATTTTTCCCCATAGTTCTCCTAAGGGTCATGGGAGGACACAAACTAGCGTCCTCCCTACTGAGACCGCTGCAGCTGGGACGGATCCTGACATTACTGTCGAGATCCACCCAGCTACGTGATTGACAGCTGGCTCTGCCTATCTAGAGGCAGAGCCAGATGTACCCGCCCCATCCCCCGTCCGTTCCACCAGTCAGCGCTGGAGGATTGGAGAGGGGGGGATCCCTGCAGGGAGCCGTGAGTGACAGTCACGGCTCTCTGCAGGGAGGTGATCGAGATGTGAGTGAGCGACGGTATGTGTTCGCTCACTTCCCGATCTATTGAGTCGACGTGTGACAGTTTCATTGTCACAGTTTGGCTTGAACTATGAAGTTGAGTGGAAATCACTCCCCTCATAGTTCTCCTTTAAACATTACTCAGCATGAACATACTTCACATGAATAAACATGTCTGACGGTAGCCTTGTTTTAAGGATCTTTATAACAATGTTATATGTGAATGGTGTTCGGCTTTCTGACTATCCTGATTTACCTTAGTAATGAGCGTAGATTCACTCATTTCTTCACCGTGTGAAATTCTTCGGTGTTTTTCCTCGCAAAAAAAAAATGTTTTTCTGTTTCATATTCATGTATTTTTTTATTTTTTTATTTGCATACTTTTTTCTTATCTCTTCAGCATAAATGCTAGTCAAGGAGCACTCATGTCTATCTCGGCTCCGGGAGGGAAACACATAATGATGTTTACTTGTTATTATTTCACCATGGCTTGGCGCATCGCCAGCAAGATTTCATCTCTGTCTATTGCAGAGACTTTGCTAATTGAGTAATTTGTGTAATGAGGAATATGGAGTAACAAGAAAAAGAGATCATCTGGAAAGGGAAATAAGACATAATGTATAGCGATGGAGTTCAGAGAGGGGTTTAACATTCTAGCTATAAGCGAACGCCATGGACCACGTGGACCCCTGGATTGAGACAGGTCTGGTTGACATTTTTCTCTGTCCCATCGGGACAGGAAGTGATGAGACATCTCTCCAGTGTGGACAGAGACCACTACGTCCTTTCATCCTTGTGACACCGGGTGCTGAAATGGGACCTGACGCATGGCGCCGTTGTTGTCCATTAATACGGGATGGTTGCAAAGAGTCACCAGCAGACCAATGTAGAAAAATTGGGATTTAGAATAGGGTCAAGTTTTGAAGGCTATATGGAATCCCATCATTGAGGCAACAGTGACTGCTGGACACCATGGATAAGCTTATCCCTAGTGACCAGTGGTCACTGTTGCCAAGCTGGTCAGTGGTCACTGAGTCCAAGCTGTTCACAGTTCATAAAATGGGTGAGCAATTTGGCCTGGTTGACCACCTACTTCCTTCTCTGTCCTAGCAACTGATGATGCTGTGTGACCTGCACCACATCATTGGTTGACGGGTGACTAAGCTGTGCAGTGTAATGGGTTTCTAGGATGCAGGAGGTGCACTACAACCACCTATGATGCTGTGGGGCCGTCTGTGTCCTAGAAACCAATGATGCTGTGCGGCCCAGCTGCTAGCATCCTAGCAGCAAATAATGCTGTGCGGGTTGTACAGCATCTAGGACACAGGTGGCACTGGGATTGGTGTGCTAACAGGTCATTGGTTGCTAGGATACATGCAGCCTCACAACGTCACTGGTTGTTATAGTGTGTCCACCTGCATCGTAGCAGCCAATAATGCTGTGTGGACCAGGCGCTGGTCAGCACAGTGTCATTGGTTGCTAGGACACAGGTGGCCCTGGAATCTGTACGCTTGGATGTTCACCAAAACCTGGATTTCTGGCTGTGTGGCCTACACCACATAATTTGTTGACCGGTGGTTGAGCTGCACAGCATCTTTGGTTGCTAGGATGTAGGCAGCACACCATAACAACCAATGGCATTGTAGGGCCGCATGTGCCTTAGCAACCAGTGAGGCTGTGTGGCCCAGCTACTAGCATCCTAACAACGGTTGTGCTAACGGATCATTGGTTGCTAGGACACGCGCAGCCTCACCAAGTCTTCAGTTGTTATGGTGTACCTGCCTGCATACTAGCAACCAATAATGCTTTGTGCACCAGCCGACAGAGTCCTAGCAACCAATGATGCTGTGTGGGTCGCATGCGTCCTAGAAACCAATGGCAATAAGCAGCCCAGCTGTTTATGGCCTGGCAACTGATGATGATCAGGTTGCAGGTTGTGCAGTATATTTTTTTGGTAGAAACTGGGATGTTATCCAAAACCTGGATCTCTGGCTGTTTTTAGTGAATACCCACCCAGGCCAGCTCAGCTCATCGATTCTTGTCACTGTTGCCTTGATAAAGGAGTCTGTGTGGCCCCAAAATGTTGACAGTAGAATATCATTAGAGCCGTGAAGATCTGTGGCTTTTAGAGTCTTGCAATACCTCATGGGACTTGTAGTTCCACAACAGCTGGAGTGCCAAGGCTGCCTACCCCTCCTCTAAAAGCTCTACAACCATACAAACTCTGGCAATAATGTAGCGGCATCTCTCAGTCCTGCATCGACCAGCACAATATTATCTACCTTTCTGCACTCTGAGCTTTCAGCTTCCTCTGGCAGCCTAACTCAATAAAGAACTCTCGATTGTTTTGTTCTCAGGGTTTCTTCATCCGCAAAGTGAGTTCCTCCAGGTGCACCGTGTAACTTGTGCGTACACAATAAAGCTGCAGATGCCGGGACCGTTCTATAAAACAGAGAAAAGAAATCAACTTTATTTACTGAGAAATAATAAAAAGTTATGACCTGGGTGGCAGTATAAGTTTGTACACCCAACATCACAGACCGTGCGGCAGCTTATTGTCTGAAGACATAGACAAGGGCTTAAAGGGGATTTCCACTTCTGCAGCCAGATTGGGATAATACCTACTGTACTTTATATTTGTTACCTGTTCCCATCCACATAGTACAACAACAAAAAATATTTTTAAATTGCTATTTACTCTTTAACCTGCTTTTTTCTTACTGAAAAAATCCTACTTACATTTCCATGTTAAAGTAAAAACAAAGTGAAGACATTTTTTTTTTCAGTTTTGGATAGAATATGGGAGGGTTGTAATCCCTGTCTGCATTTTATTGCCATGTGTCCCATTGGGGAGATTTACCTTCACTTCCTGTCTGATAGCCACAACAGGAAGTTAGAGGACATCCCTCCATAGAGAGGGATATCCCTGGTGGTCACCAGAACTAGGCGAGGAAGGAAAACCAAATGATACAAAAAATATTTATTGGTCTAGTTTTTTGGTCCTGGTTGGAATTTTCCGTTAAATACAGCATGTGCACCGGCTGTAACTCAGGACATGAAATTTCGATCTTTAGGCCGTTAAAGTGCTGTAGAATGTCTTTCCTTATCCCTTCCTAAATTACCAGCTGCAGCACACAAGAGGATGCTGCATAAAATAAAGTCGATACTGTCTTATCAATTTATTTCACGCTCTTGTACAGCCGGCAAAGAGAAGACTTGCAAAATGAAAAATGTTCTACACAAACTGATTTCCCGAACATTTAAATGTATAAAGAAGTGATCTTTTAATCTGTGACGGGTCGACTGTAGAAGATGTTTTGTTTCAAATTATTGGTGCTCTTAGGAGCCACTTAAAGCTTGACGATTATTACTAACTAATCCACAAATAGGCAAAGAATGGGTTTCATCCCACCCAACTTTTTGAGATGAGACAGAGGGATGCCTTTCGTGAACAACAAATTTAGCCATTGAACACACCCTGTCACACACCCAGTTATGCCAACCAATAAGACTTTACACAGTATGTCAAAAATTATTTGTTAAACCCACAATATTTTTTTTTTCACCATTGCTTTTCCTTTATAATGGCTTTTGGAAATAGCAGACAGGATAAGATATAGTTTTCAGTGCAGAATAACACTTTTGGTAATTAAATAGTATATTTTCATAAACAAAAGAAAAAATGGACAAGCGCACTACCAAGGGATAACAACTAATTGGAGAGGTATTCACAGACAGGAATTACAGTGTGCAAGCTCTATATAAAACAGGGAGAGGAACCCTGTGATAACCCTGCAGGAAGGGGTTCTTCTTTCCGACCGAGCTTGACAAAGAGGCAGTTGCCTCGAAACGCGTAGCTACCAACCACCACAGAACCCTTTTTACACATCATTCCCAGCTGCCTTACTACTATCGCACTGTTCCAGCCGGCAGACAAAACTCCATCACATGACCGCTCCGTCTCCTGACCCACAGACGGCGGCTGACAGCGTGTGGCTGTTATTGCTTCTTGCCGCAACGACTCAGCCTGGCCAGCTGATTCCGTGCGGCAGAGAGCTGTCCCTCCACTACAGCCATCGCCCTTACAAGCATTTGCTTCCCCATTCCATTGGACTTAATCAGGCTCAGCTTTTCAGGGGCTCCAACAGATACTACGGGGCTTCTGAGGACATCTCAAATGTGAATTTACATTTACTTACTACAGTAGTAGCGCTCTCAATACACTTTGTTTCTATCAGTATATTTTCATAGATATCTGTAAATAAGACCAAAAAGAGGGACAACTAAGTAGGAAAGAGGGATATGGTCCCAACTTAGGGACAGTCCCTCCAATCAGACAATAAATACTATCCTTGTTGCACTCCTTACCGAAACTCGTCACCAGCACACCAGTCCTTTTAGGATAGCAAAAGCTTAATTTATTGAAGTTCTTTGTCATATGAACAAACGCTTTTGGGACCACACAGGGTCCCTTCATCAGTCTTTAGCATTGACGAAAAATGCTAAAGCCTGATGAAGGGACCCTGTGTGGTCCCGAAAGCGCTTGTTCATATGACCAAGAATTTCAATAAATTAAGCTTTTGCTATCATAAAAGGACTGGTGTGCTGGTGACATTTCTACAATTCAGTCCCTCCAATCAGGGACATTTGGGAGGTATGGATTTTAGCAGCATCAAATACATAGATCAGATGGATCCTCCATTTATTGTTACTGTAGTGGTCAATTGTGTCAACCTATTTACTGAATACAGGAGGAAGAACATTGCATCAGGACCACCTGACCTTCCTCATGCAGTCATGATTTTGCTGTGAACTTCTCACCATAATAAACTTTATTTAGTTACTGATTAAAGGACAATCTGTCTGAGTTCTTCCCTTTTAGAGATAGCTGTTATAGCTACCAAAGGACTTGTACTTCTGTCTATCCAATTCTGAGATTCACACAACTCTGAAGGTGCAGGAATTTAGGGTGATCTGAAGTCTGAAGGTGCAGGAACTGGGGCTGATCTGAAATCTGAAGGTGCAGGAAGTGGGGTGAATCTGAGATCTAAGGTTGCAGGAATTGGGGCTGACCCGAGGTCTAGAGGTGCAGAAATTGGGTGTAGGAATTGCCCTGATCTAAAGTCTGAAGGTGCAGGAATTGGGGCTGACCTGAGGTCTAGAGGTGCAGAAATTTGGTGTAGGAATTGCCCTGATCTAAAGTCTGAAGGTGCAGGAATTGAGGCTGATCTGAGGTGTGAAGGTGCATGAATTGGACTGATCTGAGGTCTAAAGGTGTAGAAATTGGCGCTGATCTGAGGTCTGAAGGGGAAGGAATTGGCCTGATTTGAGGTCTGAAGGTGTAGGAATTGGGGCTGTTCTGAGGCCTGAAGGTGCAGGGGTTGAGGGTGATCTGAAGTTTGAATGTGTAGGAATTCGGGATAATCTGAGGTATGAAGGTGTAGGAATTGAGGTTGATCTGAGACCTGAAGGTGCAGGAATTGAGGTTGATCTGAGGTCTGAAGGGGCAAGAACTGAGGCTAATCTGAGGTCTGAAGGTGCATGAATAAGCCTGATCTGAGGTGTGAAGGTTTATGAAATCTGGCTAATCTGGGGTGTGAAGGTTTATGAAATGAGGCTAATCTGAGGTCTGAAGATTTAGGAATAGGGGCTAGTACATATTAACGGTAAATATGAACATGTTTTTTAGGTGCAGCAGTTACTATATTAACAATTAATTAATTTGTTTTAACTTGCCATTAACAGTACAACTATGATTCCAACAATTCAAAAACAAACTATGTGACTACAACACGTTATTCTTCACTAGCACTCCGATTATCTAATGCTTCAAATATTGACACTTGATGTGGAAAAGATAGCTGACCCTGGATTATACAGATAGCACATTATTACGTATATATATCTCTGCATGGGACCCATATAGCTTATATATATATATAATTTTCACTTTAAAAGATATAGCATCAAGTTGCCTAAAATCTATATCACAAATGTCTGCATTTTACTTGAAGATTGATTTACAAATGTTCCACTCAGTACAGGGTGGAATGTCATTCACACGGCACTACTGCAAAGCGCTATCACCACTAGATGGCGACAAGGAGCACCATTTATTGACAGTAGTGCTATGCAAACACCATTCTCCCAGCTATATGCTGGGCGAAAGATTTATAGGAGTTTTAAATCAACCTGACAGGGGTCTCTACCATTCTCTACTTTACCTAAACCAAAGAAAAAAGAAGCTTTGGCTTCCCATACAGTCTAAATACAGGTGCACTTTTATATTTGTAAGAGCAAGCAAAGGTGACCGATCTCAGGCTTTGCTTCCTTCACGTGATCAGCTGTACTGATAGCTATCAATCCATATCAAAGCAAACTACAAGACCTTAGGTTTTTCTTTTCCAACATTGCTTCCATCATTGAGGGAAATCATACTTGGCCTCCTATATGAATGTTTTTGTTTGCCAGGCATATGAAAGCACAATATTTATCACCCACATAACTTATTACTATCACAGCCCCCGGAATAATTTATTACCATGAACGGCCGCACAATTTTATTCCCAAATGGGTATTTGTGTAAGAGTGACATAAGGAATGGAATCTCATTTTTACAGCAAAGCCCACAGGCTTATCGGAATACCGGGCTGAGCCTATACTTAGGCTTTGTTTATCTTCTCCCATAAAACTTACGATTCTGCCTTCATCGTCCCATAAATCTTCCCATTCTCCCAGTAATCCCAGCACAGGTAATGTACGTCGGCGCGATCACAAGATGAAAAAGGCTGCGGGGAATTGTAAAGCTAAAGGGGGATTCTGGCTTCAAACGCGAGCTGAATTATTAACTAGGTTCCTATCTAAGATAAACTTTTGACAGATCGGTAAAGTCTAAGTCAAGGCAAAACTTTAGTCATAGAGCGATGAAGGATTAAAACCCTTTCTAATTGTTACTCCTATCTGGGGTCTGTTAAAGAGATTTGCCATCACTTCCTTTCCTGTTGACAATGTTTTACAGGAAGTGGGGG